ATAAATAAATCCCTTAAAATAAAAGTTTTATTACTCAGCGATCTAGTGTTCACCAATCCAAACCTGGTGGAGGTCAGCGTGTTCGTGGCTGACAGCAAGACCCGACGCAGCGGCCACAAGTTCTGTAGGTTCGCACCGCGCCGACGAAGATGAGGGAAAATCTTTCACAGCTGGGCTCCGGAGAGCACGGATAAAAGGCATGACAAGGTACAGATCCACGTTCGTTCCAAGGAGCCGGGGAAGAGCGCACCACGTATGCCTTAAGTTTCACGAGTAGACCGCTATGTTTGCCCCGGCATCTGAAACGCTTTCGCCGTGAGGCTGGGGCCCGGGTCCGACAAAGGTTAGCTGGTAAGATCACTGGCAACTAGTCGGAGGTCCAACAGTTTTTGGCTGCTTTGCCAGAATCTCTTCGAGGCAGTCCAAAAGTCTTTTTCCATGGCCTCTCCAAACTCCTCCAACACCCGAGTTTTTGCTTCAGCCACTGCCCGAGGCGCATTCCGCTTGACCTGTCGGTACCTGTCAGCTGCCTCCGAAGTCCCACAGGCTAACCAAGCCCGATAGGACTCCTTCTTCAGCCTGGTGGCTCCCTTCACCTCTGGTGTCCACCATTTGGTTCGGGGATTACCACCACGACAGGCACCAACCACCTCGCAGCCGCAGAACTGGATGACTGAGAACCTTCACAGACATTTCATCAGGAACTCAATGGGGATGTGGCGTACAACACTAGAGGCTAACTCCAAGCCCATAGCACAAGTCACCATCAAGTGCGGGATCTACCAAGGAGATGCTCTGTCCCCACTGCTGTTCTGCATAGGCCTGAACCCCCTCAGTGAGATCATTAACAAGACTGGCTACGGGGCCAGTCTTGATGTCCTGATGATCCACCAGGACAAACTCAGCAGTGTGTGAGGAAGAGGAGGAGGAAGATCCAGCAGCAGCTGACAGATGGAGAGAATAGACAGACTGTTCCCTGTTTGTGAAGGACTGCTAGGAAAGTTTAAATCAGTCCTGAATCAGTCTTATTAGGTAATGTTCAAATAATGTGATCATCCCAGTGTTTCCAGTGTGGGAGAAAGTACTCAGAGTACTCAGGGCCTTCAGGTTACACACTATGAAAGGCAGCAACAAGTTTAATGTTCAGAAACCTAAAGTCTGTATCAGCAGCAGAATGGAGCTAAAATAAATGTTGGTTTCAGTTCTATGAAGCTTTGAGTATTTTGGATCAGTAGCTGCTGTGTTTGTTGCATCATATTGCTGTGATTGTTTATATGCTTTATATGTTCTGAGCTAAGTTGATCTATAGTATTACATCATATTCTATAAGGATGTTATGTGTTTGTAGACTTTCTGCCCAGTTTGACCCATTTAGCAGAAGTCAGCCTGTTTAAGGCTCTGATATCTATTCTGTATGACTTACAGCAGTTATGACACGGTTTGATTTTCTCACCCAATAAAGGAATATTTCATATATCAGTCTACTCTTCATTCTATCGGACACAGTTATCACAGCTCGTACATTTTCTTTTTACACATATTTGTAAGCATTGAGCCAATTTTAGTAATGCCAACATATTAACTCATTCACTGCCATTGACGTCTATAGC